GCTGATAATAAAACATATTCATCTTATAACATAACATTTTCATCTTATAGTTTGACATGTTCATTTTACAAAGAAACATATTTATCATGTTAAGAAACATATTAAGTACAAAATCAACATATACATCTTGTACAAAATTAACATATTCATCGTGTTAATAAACATGTTCATCTGATAAAGAAACATGTTCATTTTATAATTTAACATATTCAGCTGATAATAAAACATATTCATCTTATAACATAACATGTCCATCTTATAAGTTGACATGTTCATTTTACAAATTAAATAAATATTACTGAAACAATTATCTTAATTGATAGGATAGTTATGCGCAAATAAACTCTCAATTTATTAAGAAACCATAAATCATTTAAGAATCTTAAAATATTATCAATAAATAAAATATTTAATACATTAAAATTTTAATTCTATATTTAGCGGTCATCTTAAAATCAATGACTCAAATAAAGTGATAATAATTAAGAGATATCATGATATTTTTTAGTTAATTATTGAATGAAAAAGTTCAAATATTTTAAGTCTTATAATTTTACATATTCAACTGATAATAAATCATATTCATCTTATAACATAACATCTGCATCTTATTATTCGACATGTTCATTTTACAATGAAACATATTCATCATGTTAAAAAATATATTACGTACAAAATCAACTTATTCGTCGTGTTAATAAACATGTTCATCTGAGAAATAAACATGTTCATCTTATAATTTAACATATTCAGCTCATAATGAAACATATTCATCTTATAACATAACATGTTCATCTTATAAGTTGACATGTTCATTTTACAAATTAAATAAATATTGCTGAAACAGTTATCTTATTTGATAGGATAGTAATGCGCAAATAAACTCTCAATTTATTAAGAAAACAATAAATCATTTAAGAATCTTAAGATATTATCAATAAATAAAATATTTAATACATTAGAATCTTAATTCTCACTATTTATTTAGCGGCCACCTTGAAAATCAGTGACTCAAATAAAGTGATAATAATTAAAATATTATGATATTTTTAGTTAATTATTGAATGACAAATTTTAAATATTTTAAGTCTTATAATTTAACATATTCAACTGATAATAAAACATATTCATCTTATAACATAACATCTTCATCTGATAATTTGACAAGTTCATTTTACAATGAAACACATTCATCAAAAACATATTACGTACAAAATCAACTTATTCATCGTGTTAAAAACATGTTCATCTGAGACTGAAAAAGAAACATATTCATATTATAATTTAACATACTCAACTGATAATAAAACATATTCATCTTATAAAATAACACGTTCATCTTACAAAGAAACATATTCATTTCACAAATTAAATAAATATTACTGAAACAGTTATTTTATTTGATAGGATGGTTATGCGCAAATAAACTTTCAATTTATTAAGAAACCATAAATCATTTAAGAATCTTAAGATATTATCAATAAATAAAATATATAGTACATTAAAATTTTAATTCTCACTATTTATTTAGCGGCCATCTTGAAAATCAATGACTCAAATAAAGTGATAATAATTAAAATATCATGATATTTTTAGTTAATTATTGAATGACAAAGTTCAAATATTTTAAGTCTTATAATTTAACATATTCAGCTGATAATAAAACATATTCATCTTATAACATAACATTTTCATCTTATAATTTGACATGTTCATTTTACAAAGAAAAATATTTATCATGTTAAGAAACATATTACGTACAAAATCAACATATACATCTTGTACAAAATTAACATATTCATCGTGTTAATAAACATGTTCATCTGACAAAGAAACATGT